AGAGAGAGAGAGAGAGGAGAGAGGAGAGAGAGAGGAGAGAGAGAGAGAGGGAGAAGGAGAGAGAGAGAGAGAGAAGAAGAGAGAGAGAGAGAGAGAGAGAGAGAGAGACGAGAGAGAGAGAGAGAGAAGAGAGAGAGAGAGAGGGGGGGGGGAGGGGAGGGAGGGAGAGGGAGGGAGAAGGAAGAGTGAGGAGAAGGAAGGAAAGGGAGAAGGAAATGGAGAGGGAGAAGGAACGGGAAGGGGAGAAGGAACGGGAGGGAGAAGGAAAGGGAGAGGGAGAAGAAAAGGGAGAGGGAGAGGGAGAGAAGGAGAAGGAGAAGAAATGGGAGAAGGAGAAGAAATGGGAGAAGGAGAAGAAATGGGAGAAGAGAGAGAGAGGAGAGAGAGAGAGAGAGAGAGAGAGAGAGAGAGAGAGAGAGAGAGAGAGAGAGAGAGAGAGAAGAGAGAGAGAGAGAGAGAGAGAGAGAGAGAGAGAGAGAGAGAGAGAGAGAGAGAGAGAGAGAGAGAGAGAGGAGAGAGAGAGAGAGAGAGAGAGAGAGAGAGAGAGAGAGATTGTTTATAAAGTATGCAATCATAACAGAGATCCGAATACAATAGAATAGTTTAAATGTCCACATTTTCGGCTTGTCAAATACTAAGATTCCCATTACTGGAAGCAAAGCCATCACATATAAATAACTGATCTAAGGCATCCCACTACTAAGAAATTATTTCATAAGTCTATTCAAGTACATTCTATGTTATTAAATCCACAATTAAGAAAATCTTTCTCGCCACTCTCCAATCATAACGTTGACATTTGTTGATCAGCTTACAACAGTGAAAGATTATCAAATTCAGCCCATTTTTATGTCATCTAGTCTACGAAACATGTACATTATAATAAACATGAGACATTCATTTACAATATTACCGTGATAAGTTGTCGTCCATTGCGTAATGAAAGGTTATAATTGAATTTTTAATATGTTAGTCCTTTCGTCTTTCAACTGAGGTACCAAATGAATCGAGGTGTCAATGAAGCAGCTGTATATTGAATTATTTGTGTATTATTTTACTTAAAGGGAATTATCAAAATCTGAATGTATATTTATATTCAAATCTTCATTGGAAGATATTAGGACAAAGTTTTTTTTTAATATTGAAATTCAAGAACTTAAATATTGTAGATTTTAGCTTGATTATTCACCGCAAAAATAGCGGGATATTTGAATATACATGCGCCTGTATGTAATATCTCTTTAGGATCTTTTTCAGTCTTCTGGAAATTCATTATCAAATGTAACATATCTGAAGAGTACTGCTAATTCATAATCCAGGCTAAAGGTAAAAGTATGCTGCAATCTCTGTCTCTGTCTCTGTCTGTCTGTCTGTCTGTCTGTCTGTCTGTCTGTCTGTCTGTCTGTCTGTTGTCTGTCTGTCTGTCTGTCTCTCTCTCTCTCTCTCTCTCTATCTCTCTCTCTCTTCTCTCTCTCTCATCTCTCTCTTCTCTCTCTCCTCTCTTCTCTCTCTCTCTCTCTCTCTCTATCTCTCTATCTATCTATCTATCTATCTCTATCTATTCTTTCTTTCTCTCTCCCCCCCTCTCTCTCTCATACAAAATAAACTACATTAAGATTAATAGTTCAGGTTTGACAAAACTGCAACACCAATTTTTCCATTTTAGGTATAATATTGAAACGGATATAATTTTTGTCTGCTGTATTGTTCCTGAAACACAACATAAAAGTAATGAGTTGAAATTTCAGTCGAGTAATAATAAATTGCAAAAGGTAGATTGAATACATGGAAACAGGCTGTTGATTGGAATATAACATATGATAGATAAATCCAAATATATCATCATATATAATCGAATAAACTGTTTGCTTTTGGGTCTTCAAGAAAACAGCCCGATAATTTTCATGAATATATATTATATGATATTGTTCCATAACGCACAGCATATGCGAAAAAAATCTTATTTGTGAAAGAGATGTCTTTCGTGACGTCATGACATATCCAAGAACGGACAGCGAACAGCTGATTTTTGGACTCAAAACATGTTGCATCATTCGAGATACAGTCATACGTGTTTCAGTATCCAGTTGTACTTTATGAAATGGTGTTCTTCAGTAGAATCTTAAGGTCAGCAACCACCATCGAAACATCAAAGCAGCTGTATAAGCATCTCCTTAAGGAATGTAAAAAGCTTCCAGATGAAGCACAAGGTTATTACCGGCATTTCATACGACAGGTATATAATTGAACTTTACGGGGGTAAACTGCATCACTTTTAGAAAGAAGATACAGAATACACTCGCCAGAGATTGAAGATCCCAACTACACGTCGGCAAACTAAATTGCCGTGACTAGGGCACTGCCGAGGCGAGAGTTGATGTGGGGCTTATCCCCCCATCACCCCCACCCCGCTGGAAACGTCTTCACCTTGTGCACAGCAAGATAGAGCTGAAACTCGGGAGGGTAATTTGCAATCTGTCCAACACTGTCCTGCCGTGAATACATGGAGTATTCTTTGTTATCTTGGGTGAGGGTTGGCAGCATTATCCCCAGTGGGGTGGTTGCAACAGTATAGGGATGTATTTTCTTCACTATTTTAATATGTTATTGTTAGTTTACTCTGCAATTTCTTTGGTACCTTTCATGCCCACCCTTGCTATCGGGGCTAAGAATGCGGTGGGTTTGTGGGGGTTACACGGCATAATTCCTACATATATGTGTACTAGAGGGTGAAAAATTCCATTGATACCAAAATTGTCACAGTCAGTTATACAATGTATTGTAAAAGATTTGTGGCATTACCATTCATGTCTGCAGATTATTTTGTACCAACAGATTTGTGTTCTCTACAAGAATATCATCTTCAATTTGCCTTTGCTTACTGCAATCATACTGTAAAGATTAACCCATAATATTACTAAATACTGCTGCATTGTTGTTATTTCAAGGAAACACCAACATTAACTAGTCAAGGAATAATTAACATTTTGCCACTTCTACCTACATATTTTTATCCATTCAA